GGGATTTCCACCAATTCCAATATGTGCTCCGACACGCTAGTGATCAAGTTCGGCATTTTTTTGTTGTTTTCATCCATTTTCGATATAATTTATTATTGTCTGTTATAATTTAAATATTTCAAATATATTTTTATGGATGACATTTGTAAAACATACATATGTTGTCGTATATGATAATAAAATTTTATAGAAATTAAGCATTGCTTGTGAAACGACTACTCAGTCCGCAATAATGCTTAACTAAGATTTTATTTGGGCACAACTTAAGTATGGACTGTGAAATCGGGCATAAACGTGTCACAGCACTCCAGTACCAACCCGGTACCAAGATGACCAATGTAAAGCAGTCACAATAAGAACACAATTTCGTTGACAGGAATCCTCTACAGTCAACATCTAACATCATTCGACCTATACAGCTGAATCGTGACAAGCCATCGCTGTGGATTGCACAAATCGAAGCACAGTTTAGGATTCTGTGTGTGGTAAGAGATCTTGACAATTTTTATTACGCGGTTTCCATCCGCAACATTGGGCAGAAGTGGAAGACTTCATAGTTCATCCCCCAATATTAGCCCCTTTCACTGCACTCAAAATGGCAATAATTAGCCGGTTTTGTGAGTTGAAGGAAGCGACTACAATAATTACAACAACTTCCCGAAGGTAAGGAGATTGACGATCACACGTCATCACACCTGCCGCACCATCTTAAAGCACTGGTTCCAGGTGTCGACAAAGCTGTACTTAAGGCTAAAGGATTGTCCGCTTTACCAAAGAACACCCGCGCCATTATAGAATTGCAAACGAATACAACGCTGGAAAATTTAGGGGATAGTGTAGACAGCCTCCACAAGATCCTCCAAGGTATATAAGTTTTAGTGTTTTTAATTTTTCAAAGGCTTCAATATAGGTTGGGTCCTTAATACTAATTTGAATCCCTTTTTTCAAATACAGTCAAACCTGTATAAGCGAGAGTTCAAGGGAGCACAATTTTATTCTCGCTTAAAGAGGTTTCTCACTAACCCGAGTTTATCGCTAATGCAGGTACATGTGTAGTGTTTCTCTCTTATAGAGGTACGCAGCAATAACAAGTTACAGCAAGTACGAATGTACTAAATATGTACTTATGTTATATGATAAAATTATGTGCATGATATACACAACACATGTACATATTATCTATGTACATACATATTTTTAAATGCTTACGAAAACAATACAAAAATTCATGCACTATGTAATTTTATTTTATTTAGAACTTATTTACACTTAAAAAAATCCGTCAATTTCGTTTGGGTTTATGTTTATGTTTTAGTATTTTGAATGCTTTTATCTAACTCATAAATATTGTCGAATACTGATGGTACTGATGGACCGTCTCCAACGCACTTAAAGCTAGCTTCAGTGGAATGATCTTGATTTCTGTTTCTGAAATCTGTGCTTCGTCTTCGCTGTCATTTCCAGCAAAACAGGTGACCACACATTTATTAACGATAATAGGTATGTCTATTATAAAATTATACTTTCGTCCTCTAAGTGGTGGGATTTTCCACCTTATTCTTGCAATATTCTTCTTCTTCCGCTTACGTGGTCATAGCCGAGTTAACAACATCGCGCCAGTCGTTTGTTCTTTTCGCAAGGTGGCGCCACCTGGAGATTCCAAGCGAAGCCAGGTTCTTCTCCACCTGGTCTTTCCAACGGAGGGGAGGTCTTCCTCTTCTTCTGCTTCCCCCGGCGAGGGGGTCGAATATATTCGGAGTGTTTTGATCCATTCGGGCAACATGACCTAGCCAGCGTAGCCGCTGTCTTTTAATTCGCTGAATTCAATGTCGTTGTATATCGTATTATCGTCGTTCGTCGAATGTGATATTGGCGGTGGGCAATACGCAAATTACCATATATCTTTCGCACAACTTTTCTCCCGAAAACTCGTAACGCCGACTCAGCAGATGTTGTCATCGTCTATTCCTCTGCATCATATAGCAAAATGGGAGTAATGTGTGACTTTGGTTTTTCTTCGTCGAGAGAGGACTTTACTTCTCAATTGCCTAGTTTGTCCGGAGTATCACCTGTTGGTAAGTGTTATTCTGCGTTGGATTTCGCGGCTGACGTTGTTGGTGTTGATGCTGATTCCAAGATAGACGAAATTGTCTACGACTTCGAAGTTATGACTGTCAACAGTGGTTGTCTAGTTGTGAGTGCGACGACTCTTTGTGGACTGGGCAGGGCTTTCGTCCGACCATATTCTACAAAGAAACTGATCCATGCTCCTTATCAGTTCTTCGCCTTTCCCCCCCCGCTGCTTTGTTGTTCATCGATTGCAGAATCGGGTTCGCCTTCTCCTGGCGTTATCTTTTCACTGTCATTCAATAGGCTGGAGAAGTGTTCCCTCCATAATTTTAATTGATATAACTTCAATTTAAATTTTTATTTTAGGTAGTGATTCTGAGGCTGATTCATAAAAAATACTGTTATTAACCTCTTCTTAATCAATCCTGAGTAACCTTCCTGGCTTTGCCTATTCGAGCATAAGCAATCTTGGCAATGGGTGTCCTGAATTGAGGGTTCAATAATGTCTATCTCCATTGAATCACTTTGATTTTGTCTTTATTGATTATTATGAATTTGACTATAATTTTGTATAAATTGATTCGGTTGGTATTGACCGAAATTTTGCCTAGGATTTCTTGCCGTTTGTGATTTTTGGAAATTACCGGAATTTGTTGGTCTATATATATTACTATATCTTCCATTATTGTTTTGTTTAGATCGTCTAGATATATTATGTTTAGCATCACTTTGATTTATTTGATTGGATGGACCTTTATTATTAACATTAAAATTTTTATTATATCTCGGTCCTCTATCAGGCTTATCTAATTAGTCCAGTTTACTATCGGATTATCTCCTCTTGATATGAACTTTCTATATTCTGGTCTAATGCTAATATCCTCAAATCATTTACTTGTCATTATTTTAATTATATTATTAAATTTTCTTCATTCATTTTATTTAACAAAACGTATTATTTCTCTTAAAGTATTTACTTTGCTTAAGTCAATGTAATATTCCCCTCTATACTAAACCGTCAATTCGTCCGACTTTTTTTCTGTGCTTCTCTAATAAGTTCATTAACTGAAGTCACTTTCAGGTTCCCGATCCGTTTGTACAGATCATGCGGCCCACGTCCGGTCTATATCTTAGCTTTAGTTTTTTTAATTAGCTGGTAATTATTTGGATATGGGATGTTGATGACTGCAACTTTTGCGTCTCCTTAAATTGTCCGATAGAGGATTGTTCTGGTTAGTTCTTTCTGCAGGTCGCTGTTATGGATAGTTGATAGTAGGTACTCAGTGCTACTGAGGAAAGAGTTGATTGTGATTACTTTTCTTCTCGTAAAGATGGGCAGATCGTTAACAGTTTTCAGCAAGGCATATCTGCTCCCATTACTTTCTTCCTTTTTTAGTTCTCAATTCAAGATAGGCGGCACAGACGGCAAGTGGTCAAATTTCTCTACCAAATCCACTGATGCTCTCTGCGTCTGCTCCTCCATGTTTCTCTTCTGGTCGTATATGCTCTGTCGATTCTTTCTTGCCGTTTTCGATGTTTTTATAGATTTAAGTGTTCACTGCACTGTGGTGTCCATTTTAATAATCCATGTATTTATTTTTATATGTATATATTTTTATATATGTATATATAATATATATTTATACTAATAAATAAATAAACAAATGTGTACCATTTTGGCCAACCACTTTTTGCCATTTTTCCGCTAGACACATTATTCCATCAGTGTAAAACTTTCATCAGCCTAAATCGAAATTTCCAGAACAGAAGCGAGCGAACCATTGTTGTGCAACACGAACTGATACAGCAACATCTCCGCAAACTTCACAAATTTTATTTATATTACTCAATATATGCCTTTAGTGTGGTGTTAACTTCGCCAGTATTCACTGGACACCTTTATAAAAATTAAGTTTCACTTTCACAATAAATGTTCACTAAACCTTCGGTGTGCCAATTTTTGTAAACAGTTAGAAAAAATTGTGTTATTATTATTTTACATTTTACTATTTGTCTACAGAATCGCAGATTATATTGGGGGTTATATAAAAGGGTTTAATTGCTTTCGGTTGCAATTTTTTTTTTCTTCTTTTCTGAACACGGTTCGTATCACTGGGTACTTATTATTATTATTTTTTCCACTTTTGAGGATCCTACTGACTGCGTCAATTTTATTTCGAGTTCACGTTCGATCGTTTTTAAAAAGTTATAACCCAATTAAAACCTAAAGAGATACCAGTTGGTTTGGATGGTTAAATTAGACTGAATTTCCAATTTATTAATTATAAAGATTCAAGTTAATATTACAATGTGTTATTGCTTACAAATCATAATTTCTTATTTGACTTATAGTAACACACAAAAAGCTACTTTCTGGTGAAAACTTGCTCAAACCCCATATAACTTACACAACAGAAGCTTTTTCCCTGGTTTTAATACTTGCAAGTTGAAAGAGTATGAAATGTTCGGTTATACTCGAACTTGGCCTTCCTTAACAAGTAAGGAAGTTGTTCACCATTACATTTTAGTTGTAATTATTACATACTTTGAAAGTAAAAAATATTTTATTAATTTTGAATGAATTCTGCTTTTGAAATTAAAAATTAAAATTTAAATTTGTATTCCGAAATTGGAATCTGGGGGCAATAGTTGCAACAAAATTAATGAAATGATAATGATTAGTGTATGTAAACTTTTTTAATATAAATTAGCCACATTTTAAGCTATATATTTTGATATGCTATATTTAATGTTAAATATACATCTTTTGAAATGGATAGAAAAAACCTGAAAATTTATTAATTTTGAATCAAATAAACGTGTAGTATTTAATAGAACTAGGTGTATGTAAACTTTATTCATTTACAGAACATCAATTGATTACTACGCATAAATATGTAGCTTCAAATCCAATCGATTAATAATTTTACCTTTATTTGTTTCGGGTACCATATGTATCATAATGCCACTATCTCCTGGTGTATCGTCATGATCTTGAATATTAAAGTCTTCACTTTCCTTTTTAAAAGGATTACCTTCATTTAAGGACTGATAATTGGTATCCGAATTTAAAGCCATTTCTGGAACCATAAGAAATGAATGTGGGCAATTGAAATATTTTAATAAAAAAACAATAATATGAGTAAAAAAATATTTTCTTATTCTTCTTATTTAATTTAAAAATTGCTATAATACACTTATTAGTAGAATACTGCAATTGTATATAAAGTTTTTGAAAGAATAAGAAATGAAAAATATTCTCGAAATTTAGCTAGTCGAGTTCTCCCTAGTTGTCTCAACTACACCCCAGTTGACCGTTCCGGTTACTTAGACCCGGCTGCCGTGGGGTCGATAATGTGTTATAGGGAGTGCTCAGCACGTTATGTGGCCTCATGCTGCCAACGCACTAATGCCTCTATAGCCTCAACGACTCTGTAAGATGCTCTCAGTTCGGGCAATGCGCGGTCACTCCAGCCTAGCGGCTAACAAGAAATCTCTACGGTTCCAAGAAGCTGAATTACGGGGTATGACTCACAGTCTCAACAACCCCCACAAGCTTCATCCCTCTCCGATAAGAGGTCCGCAAGGCACCTCCTGGTTCCTCGCCTGTTCCGGTGTCGGGCCGTAATTCGTCTGCTCTGGCTGCAATAATTTCCTGACGTGTTCGGACCTGTGCACAGTGGAGTGTGTTATTCGTTGGCATTGGCTGCACGAGCATAAATGGCGTTCATCACCTCCATGATCACTACGAAGTTACCACGACAAACACAATTTCTATAACTGAACTGAAACAGCCTAACGAGCAAGATCAAAGAGATAGTTGAATTTATGAGCCGGGAAAGCATATCGATAGCAGCGGTCCAAGTAACCCAGCTGAACAACCGTACGCAAAAGTCGCGAGCGTGATAGTGTTTTAGCCTTCAGTTGGACCACACCGTGCAATATCGTCTTATCGACGGCGAAATCTAAAATATAATGTGATGTATAGCTATCCGGTCAAGCGACGTCAAGCTCGAAATACATATATAGTATATACATTATCCCAGTTACTTGTTGCCCTACAAGCTATCCGACTGGTACTTGGCGACTTTAACGCGGACCACGATCTTTGGCACCACCGCTGTCATACGATTGGGTTGGGATCAAGCTGGCTGAAAAGAAAAATTCGGCATTATGCACTATGAATGACGAAACCTCCACCAGAACTATGGTTGACTGTAGCAGCTCGACTGACATCAAATTAGCTAATGATTGTCTGATAAACAGCATAACCTGGTGACTTTTGCTAACAATCTCATCAGATCATCTGCTCATAATAATCTTGCTTGAAAAATACTTTTCAAGCTGCTTCCAGGGTTGAAGAGGGGAAATATGAACTACCTGAGCGGTCGGCAAACTTCCGTACTATTTGGAGGTAAAAACATTTAAAGGAATTAAACATTGAGTTCCGCAGGGTTCCGTCATTTCATCGTTGGAGTTTAACTTCTATATCTCGAAACTCCCTTTTTAACACATCGTACACTGACGATTTCAGGATAGTGATGTCGACCAATGGAATCCATGGCATGGTCTCAAACGTAAACGGCTACTTATTTCTTCACTCCAAAATCCTCAAGTCGCTAGCCGGCAACCCATGCAAAAACCCAAAAAAGCGTTGTTGGCAACGTACAAGGCAAACGGCCGACCTGTCCCTAACTACGCCGCACCAATACCTGGATGCAGTGAAACGCAGACGAGGAAGAAAAACACATGTCATAACAATGCACTCCGGTCCACGACAGGATGCCTCCTTTCGAACAACTCCCTGTTAAGGAGCATAATGAACTAATCTGCAAGAAGTTTCTGCAGGGTTGCTTTCGCATCACTGCAGTCATCTGCTTGGAGCGAAACCGCCTCCTAGGAGATTCAAGAGGTCCTTCCTCAACTACGTCGATGACTAAAACAATATTCCGATCAGACTTTGGAAGCAACAAACTTCAGACATTCACTGAGCGCCGTTCACAGTGGAGCCATTAACACCTTCACTGATCTTCATAAAACATAATTTTTTCTTATGATGTACGCTTAATTAGATGTGAAGGAATTAATAAATCTTCGTTGGATTTACGTCGTGTCTCGGTTACATATCTACATATTTTCCCTTTGCATTTCACTCGGTTTTGGGCGTTGGCTATCAGCTAGTCGGCGCCACTTTACAGCAGAAACAAACATTTATGAACCACCCTTGTATAACTTATGTTAATTTTAGAACTAAGTAACGCATTATAATGATATTGGACTGATATGAATTGGTTGATATTTTTTATTTATAATTTTGCCACTATGATACATTTTAAAGTACTCCCAAATATTGTTTGACAATAATAATTTGTTTGTCACCTGCCACCAGATGTTTTCCTGTCACAAATACTATAAGTCTCGTTTTCTTCGATCCACATCTGAAATATGTAATTTATTATATAATCTATTCCCCAGAAGGTGTTCTTGACTGACACAAAACCCGCCAACATTATTTGTGTAAATGGCTTGGTAATTATACAACATTTTGATAGTATTTTTTGAGCTATTTTCATAGAAAACGTTAGGAAAACATGCATGGCTTAAAAACTTAAGCGAAAATATTTCAATTCGCCGCAATTACTAATACATTTGAATGTCCCCTGAGAGGGGACTAGCTAGAATTACGATGGCCCTTTGGAGGAGTTAATAGTTAAATGTGGTAAGGGGCTACGATTTAGAATAGCATCCCCGGATTTCGGGGTTGAAATGAGTATGTACGGATAGAGAAGGTCCTCCAGATCAAGAATATATATACATATGGCACTCTAGGGTATCTTTCATTAATACCCTCAATTCTGTTTTTTAATTTAAGTTATCTAGCTATGTAATTGTACATAGCCCTAAATAAATAATAATAATATAGTTGCCGCTGACTTATGGTTTTTGAGATATTTGCATTTAAAGTACAAAAAATCAATTATTTAAAACGCGCGTTTCTCCGATTTATTATGCATTTTACACTTAGATTTTATGCTTTGTATCCACTAACACTACACTAATTCATTTCTCATAACTTATTTTATATGAAGTAGTGCAAAAATAACTTTAATTCCATATCAAACTTAAGTTAAAATCCATTTATTCATAAAAAAAGAAAGTGGTTGTAAACAATCAAAAAAATAATGTTACCATATTTTGTAATGGAATAAAAATAAGAAAAAAAGAAAGATTTTGACGTCATAATAAAGTTCATTATCGTGTGCTGAGTAATGTAAAATCTTTGAGAATTCCCATTATCTTGGTGTTGGATTGGTCAAAAAGCAGTTCAACGCAAAATACTGAGCACGCCCAGCTGTTGGTCCGACCAAGGGTTATTTTTTTGAAGCGCGGCCGAAGGCCACCAATACAAAAAGAAATTCTATGCGGAAAACTAATGTGTTATATATTTCCTGTCATTGGGGTATTGCAGTTGTGTTCAAAATAATAGGAGTGCATCACAATATTTTTCAACAAAAACAAGAATTTATTTTTTGTCCAAGAATTGGCCATTTTATGCAGTCTTTTTAAGCACTTTTAAAGTTTTAGTAATTCACAGTAAATGAAAAAAATAAATTGTTTACATAAGAATCTCAATAATTCGGTGTTCAAAATAATAGGAGTGCATCACAAAATTCAATAAAACTAATAATTAATTTAAAAATTAGAAATTACGACTAGTATATAAGTCAGTTTAGTTAATATTTAGTCGAGTAGCCGCCATTTTTTATTACTGCAGCACATCTGTGGTACATGGTATCGATCAGATCACGACAAATTTTCAGCGGGATTTACTGGCATGCATCGTGGACTGTGCTACATAATTCTCTTGTATTTGATGGTCTACGGTCAGCAACAGCTTTTTTAATACCTGTCTATAAGTTTTCTATGGAATTAAGGTCAGGCGATTGAGCAGACTACGACATAACCTCAACTTTATTGATTTACTTGAATGTTTCGGGTCGTTATCTTGCTGAAACAACCACTTTAATGGCATATTCTATTCCGCGTATGGCAGCATTACTTTTTCAATATATCCATATACACGTACTGATCCATGGTTTCTTTTATCAAATGGATTGGTGGCACGCCGTTGTACGAGAAACTTTCCCACTATGCACCACCATGTTTGACGGTGTGAAGAGTGTATTACGGGTTATATTCCGTATTTGGTGGACGACGGATATACTGCCTAGACCCTGTACCACCAAATAAAACTACCTTACATTCCTGTCAAAAAATATTTCTGTTGTTGTTGTAACGGCAGAATTCTGCCGAGTTGACAGTCCTTGGCCGGATAAAAATCCGGGTCCGTTCCGGTTTTCGTAGACCCGACTGTCGTGGGAACGGACAAATTTCTCAATTTGCCATGTTCCTTGGCAAATTGGAGTCGTGCTCTCTAATTATGTTTCTTTGTCAACAATGGAACTTTTCGCAGACTCCGCGCAAATAAATTATAAATTATTTCCAATAAACGTCTACGAACTGTTACGTCGCTAACATCAAGATCTAGACGCTTTTTTATTTCTCTAGACAACGCTTTGGGATCTTTTTTAGACGTCGATCGATTTCTTTAGTAGTTTTGCGTCCGTGTGTTTCGGCTTTATTTTTGTAGAACATGGAATTTGATATAACTTGATCAGGCACCCGAGTATTTCTTTAATTTTTTTTAATAAATTTTTCCGGTTTTTCTAAGATTTTTAATGATTTCACGCCATCTTTCGCTGTGATGTTTTCAATACCCTTTAATTAAAATAAATGACTTATCCTTTAAAAGATCCCACCGTTTTAGTTTTTAGTTGTTTACAGATTTTGTTTAAATAAAAATGTATTATACCACTTGGTAGCTCACACTCCTATCTTTTTGAACAGCGCAATTCAGTCACCGACACAGATTTGACCTCATAACATTGGAAATAACTATAATGTTTTACTCACGGAAAACCGTTTAAAATATTTCTTGAAAAGTGCTTCATGTTCATGTTCTGATATGTTAATTTTTTTTGGGTTAAATATTTTTCTCAGGGGCACTCCTATTATTTGGAGCACATCTGTATTTGTTTTCTTTATTTCTTTTAGTTCTTCTAAAAAATATGAACGTAAGGTAGCACTGATTATTAGTTAGAATGTAACGCTTTTAGTATGGCACGAACAAAAATAAATGAACAAAAGTTAAAAGTTGAATAAAAATTATTTTGGCACTATTTAATATAAAATAAATGGTTAGAAACGAATTAGTGAAGTGTTGGTGGATATAAAAGTTAAAAATATAACCATAAAATTCATTATAAATGGGAAAAACTTTACTACTTAATTAAAGACTATTTATATTTGAAGACTTAAAATTAACATCATTTAGATCCCTTACCAGGGTAAATTTTAGAATAGCATCCCCGGTTTTCTGGGTTAAAATGGGTATGTACGGATAGAGGAGGTTCTCTAGATTAAGAAAATATATATATGTAGTTGCTGCTGATTTATGGTTTTTGAGATACTTGCATTTAAAGTTCAAAAAATCAACTATTTAAAATGCGTGTTTTTCCCATTTATAATGAATTTTATGGTGATATTTTTAACTTTTATGTCCACTAACACTTCAGTAATTCGTTTCTACTGAATTAAAGACTATTTATATTTGAAGGCTTAAAATTAACATCATTTAGAGACATAAAAAATATATGCATATGTGTGTATAAAAGGAACTCATCATACCGTTGTATTCCATTATCTTATATAATATATACATACATATGTATAAACACTTGTATCTATATACATGTGTATGGATGTATATATATATATAACAAAATACAATGTATATACATAAATACATATGTAGAGCGGTATAGTATCATCGACCTTTTATTGTAATAGCAAATCAAGGAAGGCACATTTTAAATAGGTGACACTCGTCAAATATAATAAATAATATATTTTTGTATTTCCGAAATAAATATAATGCATATGTATATAAATATGTGTATACACATTCAATAACTACAAATGGATTTGATTATATTACCTTACGAAAATATTGAATAACGCACGAGAAATTGTGTGGACAATTGCTCTACAAAGCTTATTATTAATATACACCTTATAATACAATTCTTCGTAAACTTTTAAACGGTCCATAAAGGTAAATATTTTTTATTACGTTGTTGCCAAAATAGTTTCCTTTCTGGCAAAGTAATGCTTTATATTGCAGTACTGTCGCGGAATTGCTTTACTTACCCATAGCTTTATTTATTTTAAAAAGATAAATACTCTTGAACCAATTTCAGAATATATTTTTGTGTCCAAACATTTGCGACTTTAGTTATAATATTTTAATCTTCTTAATATTTACAGAGACTCACTATGTTTATACAAGTTAAACTAAACGCAGCTGATTTGCCGAAATTGCCATATCAAAATGAAAAAAGAATTATTACCGTAACGCTCGAATTTTAATATAACAACCATAGCACACGTATAGTGATCAAAAACAGCTGATTTTATTATTATGTTATTTTAGAGAGGCAAATTTCGCTGAAGTAAAAGGTAATTTCGGGCCTACCGCTAAATATATGGTTAGCGCTTAACCAGAGCTTTATGGGCAACATGTTGAAAAATGAGTTACTTACTAACGAAAAGAATAAATGATATAAATATATATATTAATGAACAGCAAAAGAAAAGTTTGGACAAAGGTCCATCCCTCTTATTGCTTAAGTGGGCATAGGTACCGCAAACGCTTAGTTTACGAGATATTCGACCTTAAAGTTCAAAAATTCGTAAAATTCGAACATATATTTCACCACATTAAACATACTTTATTCAAATTTTTCACCTTAACCACCAAGGTTTTCACCAGGTTTTTTACCTTAAAAATCTTTATTTTAAAAATTACACATTTTACAATCGTTCGAACCTCATTTGTGTACCAAAAATTACGACGAAATGGAGCGCTTCCATGTGATGATTAGACAATTCGCTGAAACTCCTCTTTTTCGCAAAAATTCCTCTATTCATGCATATGGATATTTTATTTTTTAAATTTGTTAAGCAAATAAGTAATATTATATACATGTATTAGTATTAAAGTGTAAAGTTTACAAGTACAGAAAAATTCAAATTTTGTTTCAATACGAGTGCATGATAACCAACACCACTTTATATCCAAAACTCAAACTTTATATATAGAAATATATGTATCGTCACCTAAAATATAAAACAATATATAATCAAAATATAATATTGTGTGTATAATCACAGATTTAATAACTAAAATGTATCCATTTTATAACGAAAAATTAAATTTTGTATCAATATGAGTTCATGATAACCAAAAAAAAAAAATAACCACTTTATAACAAAAACTCAATATATATTTTTTCATTTTTAACGCAGAAAGGAGTTCTATGCGAAAGTACTTCAGTCACCCCGGGTATTCGCCAAAGGCCGCCAACGCAGAAGGGACGGATAGTATAAAATTGTAATATGTATATAAAAATGTTATATTACAATCATATAAATATTATAATATTATCGCACGATTTTACTTATCTGTGTTTCTTCTTCATAATTGGCGTAGACACCGCTTACGCGATTATAGCCGAGTTAACAACAGCGCGCCAGTCGTTTTTTCTTTTCGCTACGTGGCGCCAATTGGATATTCCAAGCGTAGCCAGGTCCTTCTTCACCTGGTCCTTCCAACGGAGTGGAGGTCTTCCTCTTCCTCTGCTTCCCCCAGCGGGTACGGCGCCGAATACTGGAGTGTTTTCGTCCATTCGGACAACATGACCTAGCCAGCGTAGCCGCTGTCTTTTAATTCGCTGAACTATGTCAATGCGATACTCGCCGTGGCCTACGCGCAAAGGACCTTAAATCTTTCTCAGAACTTTTCTCTCGAAAACTCGCAACGTCAACTCATCAGTTGTTGTCATCGTCGAAGCCTCTGCACCATATAGCAGGACGGGTATTATGAGTGACTTATAGAGTTTGGTTTTTGTTTGTCGAGATAGGACTTTGCTTCTCAATTGCCTACTCAGTCCGAAGTAGCACCTGTTGGCAAGAGTTATCCTGCGTTGGATTTCCAGGCTGACATTATTGCTGGTGTTT